CTCGCTCGTTTTTCCCCTTCTTCCATTTTCTTCTTCTTCTTATCTTTCTTCACTTCTTCAAACATGAACATCTAAAAACACACACAAAAAAAAAAGGTTAATCAATTGCTCATATACATACATGACAATTAAATAAACTAAAAAGTAACACAAATATATATTAAAAAACCAAAACAAAAGAGGTAACGACAATACAACAAAATAACTTCTTTAAAATAACATAAAAACACCATATGTAAACAATAAAATAACAACAATACATATATATATTTTTTAACAAAAGTACATAATTATGCATTTTTCCCCCTCTCTGTCTCCACATCATTTTCTCTCAATTCTCTATCTTCTTCATACAAAAAACCTAGTCCGATTCTTAGAAATTTAGAATTAGACGCAACTTATTTCTACTTATATGTACAAAAATTTTGCATAAACACAACAGTACCATCAATCAGAAAAGCAAATCACAGCTTGGAGGTGTTTACTTGGAGAAAATTTCACATACGAACAAATTGAATACACAACATATCTCTGTATTTTATGATTTGCACGGAAAAGAAGAAAAGATTAAGGGACTCAACCTACAATGCATAAAGATTAAGGGACTCAACCCGCGATGCATCGTAGGTCTTGAGGTTCGATGAGTCGTCTGGACGAAATCAATAACATTTGAATATAATAATTGTTGTACGATTGTTTGTTTTAATACTTTTTATATTAACCAAAAAAATGGGGGTGCTCGATCACAAAACCTACTCGCTCCGCCTCAAATTACTAAGCAACAAACGAAGAAATCCTAGGTTCGAACCTCTCCAAATGATATTATGCCCCTAAAATAAATCCCTTCATACGTGTAGGGTGGAACGGTGTACACTAAGGTTTCTTGAGAATGAGGTCGCGGTGCGGGTGGGGCTAGCTAGTTAGGGGTAACACTTAACACGGTGGGGCTAGCTAGTTAGGGTTAACACTTAGCACGTATGTTATGTTCTGCCAACTTAATTTTATTAATATTAATAAGATACAATATTTATGTTATTTTTATATATAAAAATGCACATACTTATTCTCGTTCATTATAAAATGTTCAATTATTTATTCTATTTTAAATTTGTTGGCATTTCAAATTTGGTTACTTTGCTATTATTTTTAAGAAATATAATCTAATTGCTCATTATTTAAAAATAAAGAGACTGATAATTAGAAAAGTGGTTTAAATATCTTTAATCTTGTCACATACTGAAGCCTCAAAGCATGCCAATAATATATACATTGAAGCTTAAACTCAGAAAATTTTTAATCAAATTTTCGGGTACTTGCTGATAAATGAGCACCTGCTACTGCAACAAGGGTGGGTACTAAAACAGTAAAACTTGATCAACACTGAAGATAACACCACTTGGGAGTTTATGAATCATCATTAAGTTACATAACCGATATTTTCATTGTCTCACAATTGCAAGAAACATAAGGAAGTCGAAATAGTTACAACAGAACTTGACGAAGATTAGGTCGTCGAATGCAAACATCAATACTTCCTACATAGTACGATCTCAAGCCAATCTTTCAACAATCTGAAAGGAAAGCAAGTTCGCAGGCGTTGGATCCTCGCTCAAACAATGAAATTCTCTGATGCGCTTGGAATTTCGTTTCAAAATCAATGTATGGCTGAGATGGGGTAAATATTTCCATCCTCTCCAATACTCGAGAATTCCTCAAAAGATATCTTACCATGTCGAATATCTGCTCATTGAACGGCACCCACTTAGTTTTTATAATTCTAAGACATGATAATAGGCATTTAGGCACTTGTTCAGGCTCCGGACAAAAATATCCCTTTTCAAGATCAATCTGCGGACACTAAAAGGAGCACAACAAAATGAGTAAAACAGAAGGAGCTATTGTTGTAAGAAAAACGAGAACTAAAGACAAATTTAATTGCATCAACGATAAACTCTACTTACAATAAGGACTTCAAGATTGTCAGCAATTTCAAGGAACTTTACAAGCAAACTCCATTTGAAGCTCCATAGGAGTTCAAGTTTGGTTAAATTGTCAAACTTTCCAGTTGAACGAGCAACTCCTCTATGAACAAACTGAAAATATTAAAACCACATTACACATATATATAACAACAAAGCCGAAAACTAAATGACAAGAGACCTAAGAGATTGAAGAATCAAAACATACCTCCTCAAGTTCCCAACCTGATATCACTAGGCACTTTACATAACACTGAAGAAACTTCACCACCGTGGTATCGTATCTTTGTAAGCGGATATCCGCCTCAACTAAGGAGATCGTGGTTATAGGAACTGTTATACACTTCAAATAATAGCCATACAATTGGAGATATGTAAGGGCCGGGGCATTTATTATCATCCTATGTTTAAAGTTAGATGGACGAGTCAAATTATAAAGATCGAGCTTAAGCGTCTTTAGTGTGGGTGATGATATATTTATGCAGCCCACATAATCATAATCAAATGATCCCCCTCCCACAGCTGTTAATTCCATATACAACTCCTCAAGCGACGGACAGCCGGAAAGAAAGTGAGGGAGGGACTCGTCATTCTCGCACACAACACTATAAACACGAAACTTCTTGAGGCTAGGCAATGAGACATTGTACACAGCAGACAATGGCGCTCTATAAAAATCAAGAAACAAGTCGACAATGGTTTTGCAGTTTAAGATGCATCGAGGGAATATACTGAAGTCAAGTTGAAGATAAAGATTCTGGACACCACGATCGATGACGGTTGTCATCAATGTCTCCAGTCGATACTCGTTGTCGTTGATGCTACGGAGTGTTAAAGTATCCAAACTTTTTGCCTTGTGCTGCAATATAACTCTATGGATGATGTCCGAGGCTTGTGTTCCTTCTTCCAAGAAATCATCTTCGCTGAAGTCCAAACAGGGTACATGGGCCCATAGAAACCTCCATCTTTTTCCAAGAATGCTTGTCGCCACTGAGCGCTTAGTCGGGAGGAAAGAGAGAATGTGGTATATGACGTCATCCGGCAAGCTGCTGAGCCTATCGATTGAGGCCATGTTTTGCTCTGTATCCCAAATTTTGACAAAGTGCACCTGATTTTCACAACTTCAAACCAAGGCAGTAGAATTTAGAGGGTACCAGGATTCAGATATTGTCTGTCTGAGGGGTAGTTACAGCTATTGAAACTAATGTAGCTAAGAAGATGAAAAGGGCAAGGGAGAAACCTGAAACGTGAAGCCTAAATATCGCGACATGCTACCGACAATACAACACAAACAAAAACTAAGACAATACTGTAAGAAACTGGGGGAACATGGAAAGCCCATATGAAGCCCAAATGAGGTTCCATCCCAAAACCAATTGGTGGAAGGAGGAGTAGCCCATTAGACTTATAAGGTGGGTCTATTTTCCATGTATGAACGATGTGGGACAACTCACAAGTGATATTCTAACACGCCCCCTCACTTGTGAGTCCTGATATCATGTCTCCAACCCAGGCACAAAGTGGGCTCTGATAAACCCAGGCACAAAGTGGGCACAAAGTGGGCTCTGATAAACCCATGCACAAAGTGGGCTCTGATATCATGTCTCAAACCTAGTGAGAATTTGGGAAAAATATGTTGTGTATTATTCAAAAGACATGTACACATATATATAGGAACATAATGAGCCTAAATCTAATCCTACAAGATATAGACAAAATATATAT